ATAATGAAGAAGTATTAAATTATACTCCCGCCTCCATCCTTCTTAGATATTTTCAAACACTATTTACAGTGTCAAATTTAACTTTATTTTCTTATTTTCACTACTCATTTCTTAATTTAATTTAGTTTTGTCACCTCTTGTTTTGTAAATTTTTCATGTGATTTTTTTTATTATATGTATTTTATATTTTATTTTTAAACCTACAGTCAAATAATTGAGTTGAAAACAAAGTTGGTCAAGCTTAGACCTAGCGAAATAGGCCCGGACGCATAACCCGAATCAAATAACTCAAAACCGAATCTAAAATGACTCGAAAACCGAAAAATCAAATTATACACGAACACCCGAAATGATTCGAATTGAACCGAGTGTATTCAGGTCCAAATCCGATTGAACCCTAATCGTTTAAACGCGGAACCGATTAAACTCGGAATGATTAGACCCGAAACCCATTAAACTCAAAATTGATTATACCCGATATTAATCAAGTTCAAAACAAGTTAAACTCAAATCTAGTCAAACCTAATAGCTCATTAGTTGTTGTCTTTCTAAGAAAATCATATTTGAATTATAAGAACAATTGATTTCATGTACACATCTTTTACTATGTATTTTATCAATTAAACTAATGTAATTGTATATTTTTTATACAGAATATATATAATTTATAGTGACATCGTAACATGCATTGATGGATATACTCGCCCATTATTGGTAACACTTGTATATATACCCCCCTTTACACATATGGTGGGAAAGATATATGCAAGACTAACATTAGGAACTTTAATACCAAGGGATCTCATATGAAATCGGTATAATTCCGAATCGATACAAATCCAAACTGGTATAAACCCGAACCAGTATCCAATCGAATCGAAACCGGGAAAAAATCAAACCAAATTAAACTTGGAACCAGACTGAACCAAACCGGACCGACCCAAACCGATTATCACATATATCTAAAAGAGATTCGAATTAGAATCGAGCCGATTGATCTGATTGTCAGGTTTAATCAAGCCTCGTAACGCGTAATGAGAAGATCTATGAGGGATGAATGGAGTACTACGAAGTACCTTCAATTTCTATCTAATTTGACCTTTTGTCGGCTTACTTGACAAACTTTGTTCGTCAATTAAATAATACTTAGATTACATATTACTGCAAAAGTGATTTAATTAGATTTTGGAACCAAGAACATTTTATAAATCACCATAAATAACAAAATACAATAGAAAGTCAGTCTTACACTTCAAAACAAAAACCCAAATACATCAAAACAACACATAGGCACACCCAATCAATTCGCAGCATCAATTCTATGTCACCCTTTTATTATGAAGCTTTAGATTCCTGGCTTTCCATAAGAAGTAGCAGTATGTAGCAATACATGCAACTATAAGCCATCTATATTTCTTGTTTTACCCCATCCTCATTTTCGGTCCCAATTGTGTTATGACGTTGATGCTATGTCATAATGTATCCATTCAGATATATACTCATGAATTTCCCTCGCATATGGGCATATTCAAGATGGATGATTATCTGTCTCAACACCCTTCTCACACATAATGTAACTCGCATCAATCATAATAAACTTACTCGGCCAATCCCTGGTTGAAAGTACATTAGCCTTGGTTTCTGAATCTCATATTTTGATGTTAACAAACAATATATGAACTAATGTTTGTTTAAGTGTTTCAGGTACAACAAGAATCCATTAAGATTCGGTTCTCAAGAACAAAGTTAAAACACCAAACTAGCATAGAATATAGGTAGAACTAAATGTAAGAATATGACTTAATATATCTATATTCACAAGCTCAAATGCACTCACAAAATGTGTTTAAAAATTTCTTACAAATACTTTTAAACATCCAAAAAGGTTATAAACTCAAACAAAAAATATTTAACGAAAAATGGAAAATTCGGCTCAGTGGGTGGTACCTAGTCCGAAAGCCAAGATACCGCCCTTACGATACCCTGTACCGCTGCTCCGGTAGCTAGCCACTGGTAGGTGCATGTTCTGCCACAGCGAAACATCCTGCGCCGGTAGCAACCGAAAGCTAGTCCGGTACCTCACTACTGTAGGTCCAGTACTTGGATACCGTCTATCCAGTACTTTGATACCGTTACCGTCTGAGTATTTTCAAATTCAAGTTTGCAAATCTGATCACCTTTAATTAGTCAAAATATATCCTAATTAATCTCTAATGACTAATTAACATTTTCCACTATAAATATGGGCTTAATCCTTCATATTTCAACAACAATCCAAGCTCCAAACATCATATTTGATTTTTCAAGTGTGTTCTTATTCTTGTTCTTCATTCGTATTATTTTGGCTATTCCAAGAGTTTTTTTCTCTTGATTTTTATACACACACTATTGAGCTTGTGGTTTAGATATATACTCTCATATCTATAGGTTGATATTGTATCTTCCCATCTTTGTTCTACACCAAATAGGTCTTATTCTCTATCCTTGTGTTAAGTCGTTGTGTAGAACTTATTTTTGTGTTTTCAAACACACTTTCTTACGGTTGAGAATAGCCGTTAAATTCTCAGTTCTAACATTAAAGGATAGCCAACAAATTCTTGGCTAAAAGGTTTAAGGATAACCTTTCAAATCTTTGAGGGGAAAAGTAAAAGATTGCCTTTAAATCTTCATTGTAAGCGGTTCGAGATAGCCGTAGTTAAATCTCAAGGTTGAATCCTATTGGCAAGAGTTGTTTATCAAACTAGTGTGGTGCTTTGACGGAGTTCAAGAGACTGGGACTTAGTGAATTCAAAAATCCTTAAAGAAGAGCCTTAAGGTGCTAGAGTAGAGAGTTTTCGAACCAGTCTAAAATTGGTGTCATTTATTTTATGCTTTTAATTTTGCGTCTTATATATTTCTTCCGCGTTTTCCTACACAAATTTTATTAATCTCTGTAATATTTTTAAATGCCTTATTCACCCTCCTCTAAGGCATTGGCACATTGACTAACAGAGTCTATTTTTCCAAATAACCCATACTATGAAACAATACTTAGGAATGGTCCATTTGTTTCATACCAAATTAATTAGTACAGTCCACTCTCATATGTTTGCCAAGTAGCCAATTACACCCATTCTTTATATCATATATATTCATCATGTTCATACCAAGGAAAAATCTTTTTCTTTGGAGCATCCTCTTCCAGTAATAACAATCATTAGGTTTAATATCCTTCTTGACAGTAACTTCATAACACATACCTGATTCCATAGCAATAGATTCTTCAACCCAAGACCTTCTTCTTTCTTAGGAAGGTAGATATGCTCCCATTTAATAAGGGGTTTTTCTTATATTCACAGGTGGCACTTCAAAGAAAATACCTGCATAAGGCCATAATATTTTTCATAACACTATTAGGTACTATGTTGTAATGAGACCTCCCAAATACCTAAAAGGGATGGATCCTTTAGAAATATTGGTTTGCTCTAGTATATTGTTATAAGTATTCACATAAACTCCCTCCACTATTACTTGGGATCTACCATAGTTTATTTATAGAACAGTAGTATATTTGAAAGTGGTCAAGGTCAGAAAGGATGCAACCAATAGACTGGTGATCAACTTTCCAAGCCACTATTAAGTCATTAACACACACTATATTGATGATGTTAAGAGATCTACATCAAGAATAGAATTTAAATTTGCCACAATTAGCATAATAGTTAAAAGCCCTTTTCAAATACTCTATTATGAGAGTGAACAATAAGGGGGACACCGGGTCCCCTTGTCTGATGTCTTTACCCCTTTGAAAAAACTAAAAACCTCTCCATCAAACTGTATTGAGAAAGCTGCACTTGTAGCACAAAATGATATCCAAGTAAAAATTTCATGGCCTCCATACTTTCGAGGAGACCTTTCCAACTAACAGAATTGTAGGCCTTCACAAGATCCAACTTCATCATGCATCTAATAACATAGTAAAACATTGTAGACGAGATTCTTTCCCTCAATAAATACTCCTTGATTTGGGTTGATTATAACTAGCATTAACACTTTAAGTTCGTTGCATATGATCTTAGAAAAACCTTGTGCAGCAAGCTATAGGTCTAAAGTCACTAGGACTGGCAGGACTGTCAACTTTAGGAATAAGACATATATTGGTGTTATTTATTAGTTGGAGGTTGAATTCATCTTGAAAGAAATCTAGTACAACCTTGGTCATAAGATCTCCTACCACTCTCCAATGGTGTTTATAAAATCTACTGCTATATTCATCTGGTCTAAGGCTCTTACAGTTTGGAATTTCAAAGATATATTTCTTGACAACCTCAAGAGATATGGGTGCAATGAGATTGATCTGTTTTCCACAGATAATGCATTGCCTTCACTTATAATTGTTTTTGTTAATATTATCAGTCCACTTTGTTCTCCCTAACATGTTCTAGAAATACTCAATCATGACCATTAGTGTTTTTAATGGCATTAATATGATTCTTGAGTCTTTTCTTTTTAACACATGCATGGAAGAGTTTCGAATCAGTATCCCCTTTTAAAATCCAATCTATTTTCACTAGCTAAATATCCATTAATCTTGTTGCTTTCATTTTTCAATTCAGCTCCTTGATAATAACCTGCTCCTTAACAATAAGGCTATTACTGTCAATATTACATTTAATGACTTCTCAAGTGTGAAAACAATTCATCCCTCATCGGATTTCTTTCCTAAAAATATTGGAATAGATTCTTCTGTCTGGTCCTTGTTACCAAGTGTACTTAAATCCTTCAAAGCGTATTCATTTCAATCTATATTTTTGAGCACACAGTCTAAATTTATTAGTCTCATCCTATGAGATAGGGTTGCCCCCAATCTTGTCATCCATATCTAAAACAGTGTTGAAATCCCCAACAACACACCATGCTTTAATGCTAGAAGATGCAATGTTCTCAATATTCCTCCATAGGTCCCTCCTTTTAGTTGCCTCATTATAGCCATACACAGGTAATACAAAATTCCTTATTCTCGCCTTTTTTTTTACTTTATAGTGAATGCACCCACTAATCCATCAAATCCAAGATAGCAACTTCCATCTTATTTGGTTTCCAAAGTACCTAAATTCTACGCGAAGGATGGGCAGAACTATTAATATATGAGTTTCATCCCTGATAAATCTTCCTTTCTAAATTGCTGAAATCAACCTCTCTAATTTAAGTTTCTAGCAATCTACGTAAGTCAATATCATATTTCCTCAAAAAGTAAATAACCTCATCTTAATGGTTTATTAAGACTATTTAGTCTTTTTACATTCTAGCATCTAATCATTTTAGAAAAGGGAAGTTCCCTTCACAAGGGGATTTCTCAAATAACTTATTAAACTTACTCAAAATAATCCCCATCCTCCTTGTTTTGTTTAGGCATTCATACCATCCTCTTAGGCCTACCAGGTTGTCTCTTATCTCCCTTTTTCTGGCATATCTCTTGCAGATGCCCCATTCTTTTACAGTGAGAGAATATGCAAGGATACCGCTCATAGTATTGTTTTTGGGTAATTGCTCTCTTCCTCATCAATGAAAACAATCTTTTGTGAAAAATCCTGAAGAAGTTTAAATTCAACTTGGATTTTGGCGTAGGCACACTTGGCTTTATTTACAATAGCCCTATCCCTCTTGATCAGATTCCCAATAAGGCTACCCAATTTGCTCACCCCGGACAAACATTAAGAACAAGCTCTATGCATACCAAGACTCCTCTATGTTCAACGTGCAAAAAGGCGCACAAGATGAATTCTGGTTCACTCATGGAGTGTGTTTGGGAAGTGGCCAGGTGGACCATTTTCGTAGGAATTTCCCAACAAACCTGAGCGTTGCTTATCTTATGGCACAAGTGCAAAGTCGGACTCTTGCGCCGCATCCAACTCAACCAGTTAGGGGTCAATGATCGATGGAACGCCGCCAAAGCAAGGACGAGCTCTATATTTCATTAACGTCATGCAAGGGCGTTCAACCCCATGTCAATGACATCATCATGGGTATCTTTACTTTATCTAACACAGCTATATATCTTTGCTTTGACTGATCCACGTTCTTCTTTATCGTATATCTGTGTGCCCATTCATGTTATACCTGATATACCGAGTTAAAGTCTCAAGTATCCCATGATTGTGTCCAACCCACTCAGTTGCAACATGTGTCTTCATCATACTTACTGAAAATGTCCGTTGACTGCGAACGGAAGGTAATTCCATGTGAATCTTATAAAATTATTGGCTAAAGAGTTTGAGATGATTCTCGACATGTATTGGTTGATTGAAGATCAAGAGATAGTTGATCGTGACATGAGAATCATGCGGATGAAAGGCGAAAGCATAAGAGCATCGTCTAGCTTCACTTTTTAGCGTGTAGTTTGTTTAATTACTACACGCAGGTGGGAACAACAATGGAAATGAAACTATTCCCAGAGGGAAATGAGAGCAAGGAGATGTATGGTTGCACTTTTGCTTTTTTAAATGAACATTGTGGTTATTGATTAACAACATTACTTTTTCGGGCAGAACCCAAAGTTGTTGAACTGTATTCTTTCACCATTTAGCATTTGCGCAATTTTAGTTATGATTCCATTAAATATTGATTTTTTTAATACAATAATGATTTAGATTAAATGATTTGAATTATTGAAAATATTGCGTTACAAATACCAATCTGCTTGCAATTCGATCCGTTGGCTCATGTGAAATGGGCCATGCAAATAAGGGTGTTACAGATCCAATATGAAGAAAAACAAGAAGGTTAGAGAAGAACCCAATCTCGATACAACCTGATCAATACTAAGATCCGATATAAAGAATATTGTGAAGATCAAAGAAGCCTAGGGATAAAAAGATAGTGCACTTACAGTTTGCACACTACATAGGAGCACATGAGGCAAGTAAAAGGCCAAACAAATGTTTGGACCCCGATGAAATGGTGAAGAGCTGGAAAATCCTTTGAAGGAAGCATTGTACAAAAGTATAGCTTTCATTCTATTCTTTTATACCCCAGCCTTACTAGTTTCTCTCCTTATTTCTTACAATTACAAATGAAATGGTAACACAGGTTGATAAGTACAAAGAAATCATACCCGAGTTTATTTCTCGTATAGTCTTATAACATGATAGATACACCAGAATGATGGTATGCCATTTAGGATGCACTCTCCTTGTTACCCTGATCAGTAACGCGGGGAAAATGCCCGCACCTTTACTCCAATTCTATATTGGATCGTGTCCTGAAAAATGCCCTTCTAATTCTAGCAGGCCATCTTCTGCAGAAGTTTATGTAATAAATACACAAACCAAGCACGTGGGATCAAAACCGCTTCCCAATCCCTGCAAATCTTTGACCAAATCTGAATATAACAGCTTTGGTCAATAGTCCACGGTCAAGACTACAAGCAAGAGCGATCACTCCACCAAGAACGAGGAATTTTGGTATATTCCTCCCCGATGGCTTCATTGATGGATCCAGGTTTCTCCCCTCTGCCACACTGGTTTTCCCTTCCTCTGATATCAGCTTCTCAATGCTGATTTGGGTGTTAATTTGAGCCATGGAGGGAGGAAGGGGATTGAGGGCTTCAGCTCTCAGTTCCTGATATGCACGCAGGCCAGGGTCTATCTTCTTAACAGCCCCCCACATGCCTTGTCGGACACCAAGTTTCGCAATTTCGCGAGGTATGCCCATGTCTTCATGATGGAAGAGTATCACCTCACATGAACTCAGCCGGCCATCCATATCTGACTCCACTGCATGAATGAACACAAATCCGTAGTTCTAATTATTTTCAAAAGTCTGTTTGTTTTCAGAAACTGAAAAAATAACAATACAGTAAAACACAATTTTTAGTTGCTGTTTCCGAATAAATAGAATACATATGATGGGTACATTGGGCCAAAAGATAAATATACATGTTGTTAGCCCAATATGCATGTCACGGCCATAGCCTAAGCAGATTGGGCCCAGACCCGTGGGTGGCCTGTGAGCTTTATACGCAGGTAGACCCGCCAGGCCATGGGGCGCGTCCAGTGGGCTGGAGCCGTCTCTAGCAAGGGTTACTTAGGAAGCTTAGGAAGCTATAAATACTCCCCCAAGGGTTACGAATAAGCAAGTCTTTCAAACCATTCTTAAGTTCAATATTCTCTTTTTGATATTTATTCTTGTTCTGTGATTCTTGAGAGGAGAGATACTGAGATAATTATTAGGCGGAATTAAGTTCCATCCACATAAAACATAAAATGAAAACATTACCAATGAGAAATACCTAATTCCAATTATGCCACTTTAACTTTCGGATAACCAACACCTTTTTGTATTGGATGGGTTTCAAGTTAAAGCAACGGTAAAATATAAAAACATAGACACATATGCTGAAAGATTGAATGTCTCAAAGCCTACCTGGACGAATGCACCAACTCGAATAATATACATCAACACGCCTAGGTTTATTAACTTGTGGCACAGACGAACTTGGTACACCCTGAAATATAAGAAATCTTCAAGCTCTCATATGTAGTATTATGGAACATATGGATCCCATCAACATGGCAGTATGGATAAACTAAAAATGTAAAGGTCTGGTTCTTTTGACACAATGTTTGGGGGTCTAAATACGGTGTCAGCCTATTTGGGGGGCTTACAATGCTCCATTGGCGCGAGACCAGGGGGATGGCTAATGGTTCAGGACTGCAGGTTAGGGGGCTCACAGCTCGCCAAAATGGAGGCAGGGCAGGGGGGTTGCTGATATGCTACGGGGATTGGTAACAGCAGGGGCTTAGGGACGGGTGGGAGTTGTGGGGAAGGACCTGGTCCGGGGCTCAAAAAAACATCATAAGACCCCGATGTCATATTTTGACACCAAAAGTAGGCGTCAACAATACCGTGTGTGTGGGGGGGATTGACTCCAATGGTACGGCATATCGGTGGGACAGGTGGAACAAAGCTATCTGAACCAATCTAAAGCAAGGTGGCTTTTTTGGTAATATCGTCCCTTTTATAAATGGATGACTCACATAGCTTCATCACACGCATCTCACCTAAATGCAATTCCATTAAGCATTATATATATAGACACACACACACACACACATATATATGTATGTAACTACTCCAAAGACACTTTCACCCCTTAGTTACCCACATAAATTCTGCCCACATCTTATCAAATAGTCATTTTCCCAAAATAACACTTGATACTCGCAAAATCCGTTTCATTCTCAATTGAGAAGGTCTTTTAGGGACAGAAGGATTACTTGCATCACTCCTCAATATTGAGTCATTTACCTTAGTAACACAATAATAGCTTTGTCCAGCCTTCCAAATCCGGCGGCCGATGATGTATTCTCTATCACTACAAAAGAATGGAAACTGCGCCGCACCAAAAAAACAAACGGAAAAGAAAGTATTAACAAAAGCCACTTCAATCACTACTTAGAACAAAGAAAATCAGGGTGTAACATACCTTGCGCACCCACCGAACTATCATAGTTCCCGTAGTCGGACACTCCTCCAAGGTTTCGGCATGTATGAGCATATCATCCCACTTTGACCTAAAATTATCGTCCCAAAAGAAATCCCTTACCATTTCAGGAGTGGCATCCTCATACACACTTCTACTTCGATACTGTGGGAGTCCAGTCTGCATTGTTACATTATTATGAAGTGAACCGATTTAGTAACAGAAGTTAGATTGTGGCGGCCATGGTAGCATGAAACCTAGCTCTTGAGTGCAAAAATATGTATGCGGGAAAACCTAGCACAAAAACTAGCTCTTAAATGCCATAATGTATATTCCAAAACCTAGTTCTTGAAGAAATCGGTGTTACCGGAAGGTCTCTGCGCCAAGCTTGATAACTCATGTTTGGGGTTGACCGATCCATCATGTGAATCCAAGCAGGGCCTCCATCTTTTTCTTCCAGTAACTGGTATAATTGATGAAGGTCATCATCATCTACAAGAGCTGATTTTTCACTTTTAGGCTGGGATGAACTGGAAAATTGGGCACAATTAAAGCAAAATCAATTACTGCTACAACCTAAAAAAGTAAAGAACAAATTCAACCAACCATGGCTGAGGAATCGGAGCTGGAACTTCCATCTCGGCATTCAAACCCCAGCTGGGCGATTGCGATTTCATCAAAGTTAAGTCTGGAATCGAATCTGAACAAGTTGAATTTCTAGGTAAGGTCATCCCGAATGGCAAGAAATCTTCAAGAGCACTGAGATTGGCCCAATTGGGCTTCCATGACCAACCCACCAGCAATCCAATGATAATAGGGACCATGAATAGCATCATCCCCGTTAGTGCATCGACCAAAGCGGAGGCCAAATCCATGAGAACGACAAACTTCCAAGAGGGAAGTCCTCACTACTGCCTGCCAGATATTATTGAACTGGAAATCGACCCGAAAATACAAAATTAAGAAGCTTTTCAATGGAGGCTATAGCGGGGCTGTGGAACCGGGAAGGGTGTTTAATGCGTGGATACAAATACAACTACAGAGTACTATGGACTAATTGTTCCTTTTTTAAAAGGAGATTTTGGCATATGTAGTAGGGAGTATATAGCCAAAATGTTCCATATATTCTTATCTATGTTTTGAAATATGATTTTAATCAAAATCATTTTAAATTTCATCCTTTATATTATTTTATATATAAATTTCCAGGCTCCCATTTCTGAACAATGACGTGTCAAAATTGACATGTGTCAAGACTTAAGAAGGTATATTCAATCCAGATTTTAATAGATTCTGATACATTGTTTAAAATTCATGGATTTTGTAAAATCAATAGACTATTTTAAGTCTACATAGAGTTATATGGATTTTAATTTGTTTTTAAGAAGTATTTTTATGATTCTAACATATTATTTGTAATCAATGAATTATGTATATATATGCATTTTTTCTTTTTCTTTTTCTTCTTTTATATTTGAACACTATTTTTCCATGATTTTTCTTTACTTTTCCCTTTCCTTTTCCTTTTTTTCTTTTTCCTTATTTTCCCTTCTTCCCCCCACGGTGCTTCTTTCCTTTCCTTTTTCTCTTTTCCTTTTTCTTTTTTCTTTTTCTTTTTAGAAATCATCCTAGGACTAAAACATAGAGAAAAGTACCAAAATAAGACTTTCAAGTTTTTTTCCCCGGAATAGGACTTTGCACTGTAGTAATGTGACTTTGCCCTGTTGTAATGTGGCAGTGTAAATGTGCTAATTATTATACTTTCTTGGTAATGTATATGACCATGTATGGTAATGTTAGTCCTACTTTGGTCTTTCTCCCTTTTCTTTTCTTTTCCCTTCTTCTCCCACAAACCCTAGTCGCCGCCATTCTTCTTTTTTTCTTGTTTCTTTCGTTTGCCGGCTTAGCTCCTACGCCGCCGCCGACGCTGTCGCCGCCACCATCGTCGCCCCCCAGATTCACCGCCACTGCCTCTGCTCTTCTTCTTCTTTTTTTCCTCCACTAAGTAATAATTTCAGGAAAGAAACTGATGGAAGAA